GTTTAGTAATTATTATTACATCAAGATGTGCATGATAAATATTTTTAATAATAGTTACCTTCCAAGCCATAAAGCTTATGGCCTCTACAACCGTTGGTTGAATAATTTCTTTTCCAGAGAACACTCCCCACGTGACCGCATTAGGCCCATCACTTTGTGTGTTAGTTTTCAAATCACCCTTATAAAAGGATTCAATTCAATGATTACAATATTTGAAAAAATTTTATAATAACGATAAATATATAAATACGCACCTGTTTGTTAACTGCATAATATGTGATATTTGGATCCTTTTCAATTCTAAGGATAAGAGAATCAAGATTTGTAGGAGAAACAAAAATTTCCAAATAAGCCTTTTTAATATAATTATAGGATGAAGCTTTTGAGCTCTGGAATGAATGGGCAAAAATATACGACAAGGATTCTATTTCTTCTCAATTGATTACAGAAATAGCAGACAATTGGTATCTGATTAATATAGTACATAATGATTTTCATGATAACGATGGCATATTTAAAATTTTTGAAGACGACGATATGGGTGCAGAGCGCTAAGATATTGAGGAGAGAGAAAACAAAAAAAACACTTTGATGAAAATTTGTATTTCTGTGCATGAAATTCTTAATTAATCCATTCATTCATTCATTAATTCATTCATTAATTCATTCATTCATTCATTCATTTTTTAGATACACAAAGATTACTTTGAAATATTCTATTAATTATTATCACTGAATTATTTATTATTTCCATTTATTTATTTTTGGTTAATATTTATAATATAATATAGAACATATTATTTATTAATAATCCTATTTTTAGATATTTTAATAGAATCATAAGTTATGATTTATCATAATGATATCCATCAATCATCTATTATCCTTTTAAAATTAATATAAGAGTAAAATTATTCCGTTATCTCTACAAATAATCCTTTTTAAAAGGTTTGGTCAATTTGAAATATGTCATGCACAGATTATGAATTCTACTTTAAATAATTATGTATATCAATCAATCAATTAGATGGTTGATATATTCAATAAAATACAAATTTTTAATTTAATCAAAATAAATAAACAAAAGCTTTCACTAAAATCGTTATCATCATCATCTTCATCAACAGTGAAATTAAATTTTAGAAAATCATTTTATGAGAATGTTGACCTTTTATAAGCGGTAAACCTTGCAACTAAATAATCAGGAACCTTCCTTGTCAATCACTTTTTGATCAGCAAGCTTTAACTTCTGAAAATCAATAAAATAAAATATAATCATTTAACATCAATAATGATATCTTTGGTTCTTCTTTTTAGGTTTTTTTTCTCCTTTAAAATATGAATCATCAAAATTTCACAACCCAGTAAACAAAACAAATATTTTAATATCTTTTTCTATTATATAATCAACAAAGATTGATTTATTTATTCTCTAAACAATTGTAATGCATGTAGCCACTACACAAGCTTGATTAACACGTCCTAATGGGATACCATTGGATTTGAATGGACGAGTCACCACTACCAAGAAAGTAACACATTTTCCACCACGAAAACGACCAGATTCAAAAGGTTATTTTTTTCACTTTCTGCGGGATAAAATCTTTAACACGTACAATTTTTCCGCTTTCGGGAGATTATGTAACATATTTTGAAAAAAAAAGTTGTTGGGTCGCCGCCATGCTAGATTTGGAGAAACTTGGATGGGGACAATAAGATTAGTTAGTATTAGATTTTACAGATCAATTATTTGTTTGAGAAATTTTATTATTATTATTTTTATTATTTTTGTTATAAACAACTAAATCAAAAAAGTATTTCAATAAATTGATTGATTATCTGAATTTTTGTCTACTTTTTTTAATTTTTTTAATTTTCTTAATAATATTGTTGTTGTTGTTGTTGTTGTGAATAAGCAGGAGCTTTTGAAAAGGCAATTTCTTCTTCGCCAAGCAATTCTTTAACTTCCCAAACATGTGGTTTACTGCCAACAGAAAATTCAAGATCTTCTTTGGTGATCGAGTCCCAATATTTGTAAACCATCATTACGGCCAACAATGTACAAATTGTTCCAAAAAATAATCCATCAAGATAATGTTTAGCAACATCGCAAATGCGAACTGAGAACAAGTAAAGAGTAGTTTGTCCAATTGCATAGAATGACACTCCAAAGAAAATATCACCAAGTGGCCAACGATCTTCAAGAGTTTTGATTACTAGTAGAATTTGAAGAACGATATAGATCACAAGTGCTGCACCATTAAATACATATAATATTATCAATAAGATAAAAGGGTGTAATGGGTTTAGTCCTACTTTTGATGAAAATGTTGCGACAGCTAAAAAGGTGACAGCTCCAAATACAAATAACGATGAAAGACGAATTGTCTTTTTGAAAAAAAAATTTTTTTTTTTATTCGAGAATTAAAATTCAAAGATATATATATGATGATTGGTTATTAGAAAAACAAAATAAATATCTACCCAAATTGATAATGGTGTGCCATCTTCAATAAATTGAAATCCTATAAAGCCATTAAATAATAAACACCAAAATGTTGTTGTGATAAGACCAATATGCACAGCAGTGAAATACTAAAAATAAAAAAGTATTTTTTAGGAGAAAAAAAATTATTAATTAAAAAATAAAATTGCAAAAAAAAAAAAACAAAGATATATATATAGGTAACTTACAGAATAAGCTTCGGATGCGGTAGGAATAATGCCAGAGGTAAGCAATGATTCTAGAAAAGTAACCATCATATACAAATAAAAGAACATTACCATTTCCTTACGACCTAATCAAGTAAATTAATATTACTAATATTGTTGTGTTTATTGTAAAAAAAACATGTCAAGAAATTACCAACCGACTGCAGTGTATTTTGATTTTATATGATAAATCATAATGGTCGTCATGACAAGAGCAATTGCATGTACAATAATTGTAGCTAAAAAATGAAATATAATTTTGTAATTTGTACTTTATGCTCGTAATATTATGATGTTATGTATTTATATATTCACCTGGTTGAAAAATCAACATTCCTGCTATTTCGATATTTCTTGAATAACATGTTGGCTCTATACCTTCTGGAGCACCAACAAGAGGGCATAAAGTGAGTGCAATTTCCTGACAAATTCCAGTAAAGTCGCCAAATTTGGCCATTATATTATTAATTTGTGTTTGTATTAATAGAAAAAAAAGTTATATATATATATATATGTATATATAATGTGTAAACGAGTTTTATTTTTTAAAAATGAAAGGGTTAATTGAGGAGAGAGAGAAGATTATTGTTTTTTTGTGAAGGGGGAGAGAAGCGAATAAATGGAAAAATGAGAGTGTTATAATTATTATTATTATTTATTATTATTATTAAAATTTATGAACGAGAGAGAAAAAGAAAACAAATTCTTTTGTACTTTTATCTTCTATTTTGTCCATTTTTTTAATAAAACAAATAGTAAGTAAACAAAATATGTAATGTAAATTACGAAACGTATTTAATTGCTAAATTTGGAAAATTTTAATTTATTTTTAAAAGTTCGTGTATAGTCAAACTTTCCATTATTAGGTTAAAAAGCATGTGTCCTTCCTTTTATATTTCAAGCAAATGATCTAACAGAGGTAAATTATAAAAATACTCTTTATTTAAAAAAAAAAATTACCAACAGTGGTAAATTTCATATTAATAATAATGTTTCTTTTTAAATTCTTGTTACACAATGATCTGAAGAAGGTTTGTCAATTTTTTGTTGTTGTTGCACTGACTAATTTCCACACCCTAAACCCTATCTACCCTCGCCGATTCAGTTGTTAAAATGCCAAGGGAATTAATTGTATGGCGCACAAATCAGAGATCAGGAGAAACAAAATAGTAAATATTTTATTATTTTAAATATAAAAAAAAAATCTCGATTTGCTCATTTCTTTTAAACCTTTTTATTTTGGTGGTAATGGTTGAGGGAGATGGAAGATGGAAGATGGGAGAATGAGAATATGACAATATTGACTTTACTAAAATTATTATCGAACCGATTTTCTTTTTGAATGTTTATTCGGGCATTCCATATCAGTTGTATAATACTAAAATACAATTCCATGCAATCATTCATCATTCATGATTTCTAAACTTATTATGATGTTTGCTTTGTCCATTATGAAGCTTTACAATCGAAGATAAAGGAAAAAAGATCCCAAGACAAGTCTGCCAGTTTTGGTCATTCCGATCACGTAAAAAGATTCGTTGTACAACTAAATCGAAATACGATTTCCAACATTTTGATTTCTTGGTTGTATGGAAGGAATGTCCTGAAATATGACAAACAGATAGAACCTATAGTAACTTGGTGATACATATAAACATTTCTCTCGATCTTACTTATCCACCAAAATTCTTGGCTAATCAAATAAGAAGAAATATTATGATGAATTGCAGCCAGTATAGCAAAATTTGCTCATTACAACGTTTCATCTCTTGACTCTGTTCCAAATAATTCAGTTTACTAACAACTGAAATTTTGGGAGCATTTGCAGAAGCCATGACACGCAAATTTTATTCGTGTTAATTAATAATGTTCCTCGTGTTATAGATATATAAAATTTTGTAATTTTTTGTTATATAATTATTGCATCAATCATATTTACATACTGTATTAATCTCTCTTTCCATACCTATTTGTAATTTTTCTGCTTTTGTTCGTTATAAAGAGTGTTTACTATGATGTTCGTTATAGAGAAAGAAATTATAAAAAAATGAATCGGGACAAAAGTGAAGTTCGTTATAGAGAAAGTGGACGGTCATAAGGTTTAATCCTTATTGAAATTTATTGGGTCACCAATTTCAGTACAGTCCTCAACGGTGTCCCGAGTGTTTTGTCTATTTCTGTCTTAGATAGGTAATCCTCTTCATTTAAAGTATTACTATTACACATGATTTGTGAAGAATTTATATCAAAGCCGGGCTGACCGCGTAACTCAAATGGGCACATATTGGTCTTATCACAACAACATTTTGGTGTTTATTAGCTAATGGCTTTGTGGGATTCCAATTTGCTGAAGATGGTACTCCGTTATCACTTTGGGTA